CAAGAGTGGAAAGGCAACCAAAAACTTTTAGAAATGAATAGTTTGGTTTTTGAGAGAACAATATTTCATATGGAGATTTTCCTAAAAGGTTTGGATTTTCCTAAAAGGTTTGGTTTGGATATCAAATAAGTAGCTGCCAAAACGCAATCTTCCCAAAAAGAAGAATGAAGTTGAGCATGAAACTTGAGAGCTCTAACTACCTTTAAAAGGTGTTGGTGCTTTCTTTCCACCACTCCATTTTATTGAGGTGTTCCAACACAATCAAGCTGATGTAGAATACCTTGAGAGGAATAGAAAGATTGTTGATTCTTATAATTTGTACTTTAGTCTACCAAAAAGAAGAAAATGAAAAATTAATATAAAGGGTGCAGACCTTCGAACTCTTGGACCAAATCACAGTTTTCATGATGGTTACAACTAATTGGAACCTGCCTTTGAGATAAAGTTTTGTAAGGAGTTTAAAATGTTTATATGGCTTGTGATTATCTCTGCTTCCTTTGTAGTGTGTTTTTCATTTACTCATTTGTTTATTTTGTGAAGTTTGCCCGGACTTTTAATTCAAGTATGATCTCGTTATGTTTTTGTAATTTGGCAATTATTGTGTATTGTTAAGTATAGATGTGTTAATGTCCTTTCAACAATTTTTAGTTGCAAAGATTATATTTGGTAGCAATATGTCCCCTCACAAAAATATTAGATTTAAGTTTCTTGGCAAGGCAAGTGTCTGCCTATTTATCCACTAGGGTAGTGTGGTTCCCAAGCGAAAATGGTGTGGGACCCTAATTTATTAGAATATTTGGCTGTTAGAAGTTCTCTTCACTATTTATGATATGAAATTCTAGAAGCTATGGGGTAGCATTCCAATGGTAGTGATTTCTTGCCCACGGTAGGGTTTGGCAGTGTAATTCCTCTTTTGTCTTTTTTTCTGGTTTTTGCTGAGCTATTTCAATATTTGTTGAGCTGCTTTGGCGGCTGTCGAGCTGACTCATGTCTTGATTGATATGGATTCTGATAACCAGGTTAGCTAGGTCTTGATCAAGTTAGTCAATCCATCTACTGTGTCACTAACTCATTTGCCCTTCATATTTCCTCTTGGTATCATCAGTTGCCCCCAGCCCCGAGTGGGGGCTATCTTGAGTTGTTCGTTGGTTGAGGGTGAGTTGCCTTGAGTATTTGGCGTACTGAGTTATTCTGGCGTGTTCGTCGTGCTTATCCAATTGTGAACCTAGGATTGCGCATAGGCAATGAGATATGATGGGACCATTTTCCTATTTATGTGCATCCGTGTAGGCATGGTGTGCAAGACGTGCATATGCATATCATACCATTTTATAAAATATTGTGTGATAGTGTAGATTAACAAGGATGAGCACAAGGTACGAGTTACGCTTGGCAGATCGGATCTGAGCTTCGAGGCTCGTGGGGATCGTAATAAGGCTTTTTTTCTTTCTTTTAGGGAATTATGGAGATTTGCATAGAGAAAGTATAATGGTTCACTGGCTCGAATGCTCGGCTAATCCACTCTTTAATTGAGAATCTCGCTCCTTTTTACTTTATTGATAATTGGAGAGATTTACATAATCATGTTTGTACCATTCAGGTCCTCCTTCAATGGGGGAGTTATACAGTATTTATAGAGATGTTCCTTGTTCGAGGATCTTTGGCGAGATCATTGCCTTTCATCCGTGGATTCCTCCTTGATTTTTGGTTAGGATATTGGTTGGTTAAGGGTTTTGTGCTTTGAATATGACTCTTTGCCACCTATAGGGTTCGTGTTAACATCCAACTGTTCCCTTATCATTTTCGCTATTGTCTCATCTGGGGGGAGCTCTAGCTCTGGTCCTCTGAGCTCTACATGTCTTCCCTGACCTCCTTGTCTGATCTCCGCACCTGAGCTCATACTTGAAAATTATTCTAAGTATCATCAGTTGCCCCCCAGCTCTTGGTCAAGCTGGCTTGGGCAAGGGCTGAACTTAAACTGAAACATAGTGGACCCCCATTCAGTGACCACGATGTACGTGTAGACAAATTTTTTATGGTTACCAGTAATCACATCCTCCTCAATTCTCGTGCATGTTCTCCACTTTCAAGACCAGCGTATGAAAGGCTTTAAATGTCTCTGTGCCAAGGGGAAACGGCTCACTTCCTTGTCCAAATACCCTCTCTAACTTTACTTTTTCTTCTTCTTGCGATTTTAAGCATCTGATCCTATCAGCGCCCTTAGGATTTTCGCAAAAAATTGGTCTACCCTGATTCAGCTCCTGGCTTCAACAAAGTTTGCTCTTCGCCTTCATTTCGTGCTTTGGCCCATTGTTCATCCTCACTTAGGTACGTTTCTTGTCTTTTGTTCATCTCCTCGTTCTAGATCCCTCAAGTCTGAGGTGGTTTATGTATTTTTGGACTTTCCGATTCTATTATTTTAGGAACCGACGTCGATCTCTGTCTTGTATTCCCGTCTTCTTAGACCCTTATTCAACTGCTAGGGTTTTCCTTATTGGCAGTTGTTGTGTTGCCCCCCAAACTCTTAAAGAGTGTTTCACAAATATTCCTCTCCTTTATCGTACCTTTAGACTCCATTTTTCTTGCCCAACTATGTCTGTTTCTTCTGGAGCTACCCCTCCTCTATTTCCCTCTTGGGTGATAGGACTGCTAAGGAAGATATCAATTTAGGTGATGTGGGTGAAGAAATTGACAATTTTCCAGGTGTTGATTTTATCGATGTTGAGGTAAATACTGAAGAACCTACCTCAACGTCCTCTCCTATGCCCACAAACCCTAACAAAGGTAAAGGCAAGGTGAGTGGTGTGGGAGTCTCTACTGCGGGCATTGGGGCTGCTCTTAGAAATGCAGAGCTCGTGGGCCCTAGTGAGGTCACTCCTTCTCTTATGAGAGTTCTTAGTGTCCGCTTTGGTTTTCCTCCAAGAGTCCAGTACTGGTGTCCAGAAAAATTCACCTCATATGTCTCCCAGGTTCATAAAAAGGTTTGCTTCTTTATGGCTGCCTTTGAGAATGGTCTGCGCTTTTCCTTACACCCTTTCATAAAGAGTGTTTTACAACAATTCAACGTTTGCCCTACCCAGCTCTCTCCTAACTTCTGGGGTGTCCTAGTGGGTCTCCTTGTTTTATTTAAGAATCATAAGCTTGGGGTTCCCATCGTTGCCTTACTCATGGAACTTTTCAATGTTAAGCATACCTCCTCCGAGGGTTTTTTGTATATCTCCAAACGAACAAAGGCCAAACTGATTATCTCCCGAGCTCCCACAAGGGCTAGAAAAAAATTTTCTTCTACGTGTGGGGCGTACAGTGGGAGTATAATCTGACAGATAAGACAAACACTCTTTCAATTCCTAGAGTCTGGTCTGCCCCTGATAACCTGGGTAAGTCCTTGCTTAAGCTAATTAAGATCGAATTTGGTGACCCTTACTGATTTTGTTCTGCTTTACGTTGTTTCTCAGGTGTTCGACCCGAGCTCAGTGCTGAGGACGAGCGGGTGCTGCTAAAATTGGAGAAGTGTGACCCAGAAAAATATTCTAAGCTCATCAAGCCTTGGGTTCTTGTAGAGCAAGGGTTCAGCCTTCTAGAGGTAACGATAGAAGCCCCGATCCCAATCTCCATTGTTAGAGCTGAGGAGGTAGCAGGTGATGCTTTTTCCATCAATTCCCTCATTTTTAGCTCTCTTTTTTTCTCTTTCCCAGCTTGCTCACTTTAAGTCTTCTAGGTTCTTCCTCAATGGAGCCTACTCCAACAGAGCTCTAGGCTAAAATTTCTCAATTAAGGAAGACCAGCAGTGGTAGCAAACGTAAGATTGTGCCTAGTTCTAGTAGCTAGTCCACTCCTCCACCCAAGGTACTGAAGACAAGCATGCCCCTGGCTCCTCCTACTCCGACTCATCCGACAGTTGTTCAGTCTTCATCCTCCTCTCCAATTACAGATGATCCCTCCTCCTGAGGTGCCTTGGTTATCCCTGTGGATGTTCCTAGATGAGGTTAGACCTCCGCTTCCTCGTATGAGGTTGAAAGGGCCTTGGAAACGACCACACGTGTTTTGACCTCCTTTAATTTTCCCAGGGACTCTAAGAAATCTCCCCTGCCTTTTCTACGAGCCCCAAAGTCGAGAAGGGGACCTTTACCACAACGATGCTGTCCATAGATTAAATGATTTCGTGGATTGGATTTCATTGCTTAACCGTAGTAAGAACTCAATTATTCACCCAGATTTCACTTACACGAAGGAAATGGGAACTAGGCTTCAAAGGCAGACTGGACAGGAAGCTAGCTAACCTTTCGAGAGGGTAGAGGGACGTAGGGTGTCAATCAAAGCAAAGGTTTTGGTACGGTAAATGACAGCAAGCACTTAATCCGGTATTTCATAATATTCCCATATTGCATACAAGATATTTATAAATAAGAGTTAGCTAGCGAGAACAAATGATAGGTCAAGATCATGTTGTTCATTGGGAATTGAAGAGGGCCGTTTCTACTCCTGCTAATAGTTTAGCACATTCTTTATTGTTACTATGGGGTCCTGAAGCCCAAGGAGATTTTACTCGTTGGTGTCAATTAGGCGGTCTATGGACTTTTGTTGCTCTCCATGGCGCTTTTGGACTAATAGGTTTGACTATGAATGGCATCCACCTAGGATCTCGGCAGTTCAGCTCTCTGCTGCTATTACTGCCTATGCTCGGATCCATATGTACAAATACATCTCAAGAGAGGACTGCTACTACACCGATACTGACTCTGCCTTCCTTGGGAGTCCACTGCCGGAAGAGGAGATCTCATACAGCACCCTTGCTTGAGTGCTCTGCGCGCTATTGCTTACTTATATAGCTAGCTTCTTTGTTTTTTTTTTTTGAGTTGTTCTGCCGGATCGGTCGCTCAAGATCTTTGGTCTCTACCCGGACCCGATGAAAAAAATGGGAATTGCTTCGGTGGATCCGGACCATTCCATGGCCGTGCCACTCTCCTCAGAGATGCATGCCATAATTTATAATACAATACGAAGGCTGCGAAAGCCTCCTCACTTCCGCCTTCCATCCCGCGTTTCCCTGCTTGAAACAGTTTTTTTTGATTAGCCCAGTCATGAACCACCTGGTTGGAGCCATGGTCTACCCAGCATCCTAGAGTAGAGAAAAGTGAAGGTTCCTTCTTTGACAATGATGAACTTGATGCGGGGGCCATTTCCTCTATTTTCCCTGATTCTGACGTTCAAAGGGCCTCTTCCATGTCTCTTGAGGCTTCTATATGCTCAGCTCTCCAAGGAGCAACTACTGTAAGTCCTTGTATTTGTGCTTTCATATAACCTTATGTTGTAATTTCATGCTAACCTTCACTTGTTTTCCCTTCTATCCTTAGTCGGCTATCCATGTGAAGAGCTTGATGAATAGGATCTGATCTTCAGAGAACTCTGTCAAAGCTATGAAGGCATATGAGATTAAGGTCGCCAAATTTTTTTTTTGACAATGATGTCCTCCAAGCTCAAGTGCAAGAACTTCATGAGAAAATGGAGAGACAGGCTTTTACCTTCAAGGGCTTACAGGCAGCAAAAGATAAGGCTGAGAAAGGAGAAAAGAAAACCAGGGATGAGCTAAGAATGGCCAGGGAGGAGCTGAAACTTAAAACTGATGTCTGGGTCAACGCCAGCTAGGAAGCTTTTGTTGCCCAAAGCTCCCTCGAGAGCCTGAGAAAGGAGTACGTCATTCTGTCCAAGGCAAATGGTACCCTCTGCAATGAGCTTGAAGAGTTATAAACTACCGCAACCAAGAAGGACGAGGCTATCACCAAGCTGAGGGATGACGTTACTACCAAATGGGCCTCTGGGTGGCTTGCTTTTCTAGACAAAGCTGAGAAGACTTATCCTGATCTGAACTTCAACTTTGACGTCCCCACTGAGGAAGGAATGGAGGAGCCCCGCACAGAGGATGAAGGTGACACCCCTATTCCTTCAAATATCTCTGTTACTACTGGGCTCCCTACTACTTCCTCTGTTGCTCCTACTGTTGCCCCTTTTTCTGTTGACCTTGTAACTAAAGCTTTAGCCCTGAATTCGCTAGCAACTGGAATAGAGGTCCCTGCTTCGGGGGTTTATGAGGTCATTCCTCTCTTGCCTACCTTAGAGCTTATAGATGCTTCGACCACTGATTTGCCAGATACTTCACCTGCTGAGCTACCAGGCTCTTCTCCTACTCCTGCTGCTGAGGCCTCAGCTACTGGACTGCAGAACCCTTCACTTACTCCATCTTTAGGAATTTAGGATTTTTTTTTTTTTGCACACTCTGAGCTCATACTCTGAAATGTAACTCATTCTGTTTTGAAATGCACATCTGACTCACAGCTTTTCTGCACTATAGTTGTGATATTGATTCTCATGTCCATTGTTTGCTCTTGAGTTGTTGCTCTCCCCTTGCCCCCTTCCTTTGAGGAGTACTGAGTTCTCCTTAAAGCAAAATTGTTGAGTTTGGAGAAACTTCGAGCCTGATTGGAGTGTTGAGATCTCAAGGGGCATTGAGTGTTTGCTAGATTTGGCAAATATGGTAGGTAACTTGATGTTGTGGTCCATCACAAGTGCATCTATGGAGGTCATGCTGCTTCATCCCTAAGAACTTTGACGGGAGGTGAGCTTGGGAAACATCAGCCCCATTTTCGTCGTCATATCAAGAAGAGTCTTGAAGCAGCTGGCCCAGAGAAACCTAAAAAGTCTCCTTAAGAGCTCAGAAAGTCTAACTTCAAAGGATAAAGGTTGTGTGATTGTGCTTCGCCTTAGCTGGCACAAAGATTATGGACTTCCTCATTACGGACTTGAAGTTAACCTCTCAAATTACGCTGTAGGTTGTCGTACTGGGTTTCTCCTGGCTCACCAAGTGCTGAAAATGCTTGAGATGGATAAGGAGTATCAGGGAAATGTTGAAACTACTAGGGAGGTTTTCTTTGTTGAACCAACTAAAAGTAGGAGGTCTTTCCGAGCTCTTTTATCAATTTGATGTAACAGACTCTAGATTCCTCCCCTGCCCCTCCTTTTGATTGGTTGACTTAATTAATGGGCTTGAGTAGCTTCGCCTTGGTTTATGGGCTGGGGGGCCCGTCCTAAGCTGCTGAGCTCGTTTCAAACCACGATGTTCGTATCTATTTTGTGAACTGAGGAGTTCATCGTGAACTAAAGAGCTCATTTTATGAATTGAAGTGTTCATCGTGAGCTACTGAGCTCATTTTATGAACTTAAGAGTTCATTGTGAGTTGTTGAGCTCGTTTTATGAATTGAAGAGTTCATCGTGAGCTATTGAGCTCATATTATGAACTTAAGAGTTCATCGTGAGCTATGGAGCTCTTTTCATGAACTAAAAAGTTCATCGTGAGCTATGGAGCTCGTTTTATGAACTAAAAAATTCATCGTGAGCTACAGAGCTCACTTTATGAACTAAAAGTTCATCATGAGCTATAGAGCTCTTTTTATGAACTTAAGAATTCATCGTGAGCTATTGAGCTCGTATTATAAACTTAAGAGTTCATCGTGAGCTACAGAGCTCGTTTTATGAACTGAAAAGTTTATCATAAGCTATAGAGCTCGTTTTATGAACTAAAAGTTCATCGTGAGCTACAGAGCTCACTTTATGAACTAAAAGTTTATCGTAAGCTATTGAGCTCGTATTATGAACTTAAGAGTTCATCGTGAGCTACAGAGCTCGTTTTATGAACTGAAAAGTTCATTGTGAGTCATAGAGCTCTTTTTATGAACTAAAAAGTTCATCGTGAGCTATTGAGCTCGTATAATGAACTTAAGAGTTCATCGTGAGCGACAAAGCTCGTTTTATGAACTGAAAAGTTCATCGTGAGCTATAGAGCTCTTTTTATGAACTAAAAATTCATCGTTAGTTTTTTTTTTTTTTAGCTATTTCAAGGCAATCAAAAGACTTGTTGTTTTATTGAGGATAATCGTTTTACAGAAGGGACTTACTGAAAAAATCTCTTAAGATGCTCTGTATTCCAAGACTAAGGTAGGATTTTTCCTCCCTCTGTTTGCAACTCATAATTTCCAGGTCTGATCACCCTTAAGATGATATAGGGACCTTCCCAATTAGGCCCCAGCTTCCCATGAGTGAGGTCCTTCCTTGCTAACAAAAGTTTTCTAAGCACCAGATCTCCCACCTTGAAACTCATGTGTCTAACCTTTCTGTCGTAGTACCTAGCTGTCTTCCTCTAGTAACTCCTGATACGATGCAGAGTTGTTTCCCTCTTTTCTTCCAAGAGATCCAAGCTAAATAGAAGGGACTCATCATTGCGTCCATCGTTTGCAAATTCAATCCTGGGGGATGGGAGCCCAACCTCGACAGGCGCCACCGCTTCGGTTTCGAAGGCCAAGGCAAATAGTATTTCTTGAGTTGCTGACTTGATAGTTGTTCTGTAAGCCCATAATACTTCTGGGATGTGTTCCACCTATTTACCTTTCTGCTCTTCCAGCTTGGTCTTCAGGGCTGCTTTTATGGTCCTTATGGTGAACTCTGCTTGTCCATTGGATTGAGGATAAGCTAGAGCTGAGAAGTAGTTTTTTATCCCTAGCTCAACATAGAATTTTTTGAATTTGGGGTTGTCAAACTGCTTCCCATTGTCAGTCACAATCGCTCTGGGGACCCCAAACTGGAAAATTATTGATTTCTAAGTAAAGTTTTGAACCTTCTGTTTAGTGTTGGTTGCCAAAGGCTCTACTTCTGCCCATTTGGTGAAATAATTCACTCCTATAATGGCAAACTTGCACTGTCCCACACTGGTGGGAAGGCGTCTCAATATGTCCAGACCCCACTGCTGGAATGGGCAAGGGCTCACCACCAAAGATAAGAGCTCTGGTGGGCAATAGGGGACATTGGCGTGCACTTGGCAGACCTTGCATCTTTTGACCAAGTCTGTGACATCTTTGAGCATGGTGGGCCAATAGTACCCTTGCCTCAATGTTTTTCCTACCAAAGCCCGAGCTCCAATGTGGTTGTCACAGACTCCTTCATGGATTTCTCTGAGAATGTAATTAGCGTCTTCATCTCCCACGCACCTAAGAAGAGGTCCTAAGAAACCTCACTTTTTTAGGTTCCCCAGCAAAATGAAAAATTTGGCCAACCTGGCTCTTAGCTTTGCAGCTTCCTTGGGGTCTTCTTGTAAGGTTCCATTCCGCAAGTACCCAATGATCGGGTCCATCCAGCTCGGAAAGGCTAGAATAGGGAGCACTTCTTCTTCCTGGGTGCTTACTGATGGCTCTACTAGATGTTCCACTGGTATTAGCCTATCTAGGTTCTCTTGCGAAACAGTTGCCAGCTTTGCCAAAGCTTCTGCTCGTGAATTCTCGGACCTAGGAACGTGTCTGATTTTAACTTGTACAAATTTCTTGATTAATTCTTGTACCTTTTTGAGGTAAAGGACCATTTTCTCACCCTTGGCATCATAAGACTCCTCTATCTATTTGACTACGAGCTGGGAGTCATTACAGATATCCAGTTGTTCTGCCTCTATTGAGCGGGCAAGGTTGAATCCAGCAATGACAGCTTCATATTCTACCTCGTTGTTTGAAGCCTTAAACCCAAATTTGATGGCGTATTCAACGTCTACTCCATCTGGAGAGGTCAGAACTAAGTTTGCCCCGCTTCCTTGAGCATTAGCAACTCCATCCACTAAAAGCTTCCATGTAGAGAGGTTAGGTACTAGTTGTGTGGCCTCTAAGGGGTGTTGCTTTCGTGAATTCTGCGATGAAGTCTGTCAAAATCTTCCCTTTGATTGTAGTTCTTGACTTAAATCTAATATCAAACTCATTGAGCTCTATGGCCCACTTTATCAGCCTCCCTGAAGAATCCGATTTATGCAGCACTTGCTTCATCAGTTGTTCCATTGGTACCTCGATAGTATGAGCCTGGGAGTATGGTCTAAGTCTCCTGGCTGTAGTTACCAAAGCTAAAACAAGTTTCTCCATTTTGGATATCTCGCCTCTGCTCCCCTCAGAGCTCTGCTACAGTAGTAGACTGGCTGTTGAGCTCTATCTCGCTCTCTCACCAGTGTTGCGCTTGTTGAAAAATCTGAGACAGCTAAGTAGAGAGTAAGCACTTCCCCCTCCAAGGGGCTTACCAGAAAGGGAGGGTAGCTCAGGTAAGTCTTCGAAGCTTTGAACGCCTCCTCACACCGGGTGTCCCATTGAAACGCCTTCTTTA